AATAATAATAATAATAATAATAATAATAATGGGTTTGAAATACAGAGTTCCTCGCCCTGTATACTGTCATGTGTGTTGACTATAGACGGGGTTTGGATTGGTAAATGGATTCATTGGCCACTTACAGGTCGTAACTACAAACAACTATACCACTATCGCTGATTTCCACATTTCTTCTCAGTATGCTTTCACTCTTCGTTTCCTGGTAACGGATCTTAACAATGAAGATTCTCCAGCTTCTGTGCCCACGTCGTTACTGTCCGGAACTGAACTCTCTCAGCCAAAAAGTCAAAGTCATATTGCGACTATCAGCCAGTCAGTAAGCCCTGGTGTCGAGCCCCATCTGGGACTCACGACCAGATATTTATTACTGTTTGACAGTTATGGCCTTTTTTTTGTGGTACGCCCTCCCTGAAGAGAGGACTGGTCTGTCTTTTGTATATGCTGCTGGTCCTTGCCAGCGCAGTCTTTCTCGGGTCCGAGTCCCTTGGTAATCGCGACCATATTTTATTTTCTCAGATTTGACACTTCCCTTTCCGTCGCCTCCTACTACTCGCAGGGTCACGGTGGAAGTATTTGACCCCGCCTCTACACGGGAGCCGGCCTGGGGTCCTCGCTATTTATCCGTTGGGCGGACCCAACATAAAACACCACCTCCAACAGTCCCTCTGTTGCTGTTATGGGCGGTTGCCTAGCGATAATTCGGATATCGTTGATGTGTTTACCTGTCGCTACCAAGCAACACGTGCTCTTTCTCGAGATCGTTGCATTGAAACGGTACTATATGACGCAATATTACAAGAGTCCCACAATAATTAGCAAAAATTTGACCTCCAAATACAAGAGAGGTGGGCTCAGTTTAGAAGTACAGAAATTTCAAAAGTGTTCTCTCGAATTTTACATCTTTGCAAGTGGAGATCTGTTTCACGTTTATTGCAGATGTCAATATATTGGTGACATTAGGATTCTGCAGTAATTTGTATACATATATTTCCATCCGTGGATAAACTTTACACGCACAAATACAGCACCAATATAACCAGTCCAACAGCGTGGGAAAAGAAATGCAAGTCACTCTAACGTATGTGACATTCATTTAACATGAATATGAGCTGTGTAAATAACACACAAAATATCCACGTGCCGACTAGGGAACGCTGCGCAACAAGACACATCAGTTAATGCACTCAGAAAAATGTGTTTCAATGAATTGCTGATAACTATGACGAGGAATAACATTTTTAAAAATTTAATTCTAATTATATGTATTAAATAATAATCAACATTGTGTTCATACGGGCTATACAATTTTAACATCCAGGGGAAAAAAATTGACAAGGTAGACAAGCACCTGATGATGGGTGTACGTGAGGCCGAAACATGTAGTGACAGAGAAACAGGACAAGACAATGAGTTTCATGTATGTATGCAAGTGATTATATTTATATAACTCACTCTCACTCGCTCATGGAGCCGAGCCCTTCTTGAGAAGCCGCCAATTCTGCAGCTACTCAAGAACTTCCCAGCATTTCATGGAACCCGAAGGTTCATTTCCGTGTTCACAAGAGCCCTCCACTGGTCCCTATCCTGAGCCAGATCAATCCAATCAATACCATCCCATCCTATCTAAGATCCATTTTAATATTGTCCACACACACCTACGTCTTGGTCTTCCTAGTGGTCTCTTTCCTTCTGGCTTTCCCACCAATATCCTATATACATTCCTCTTCTCCATTTGTGTTACATACCCCGCCCATCTCACCCTCCTCCAACATTAGTGCAACAGGATACTTAAATACAATATTCAATATTAATTTTATAAACGTTCCCTTCATTTTCTGCTCAGAATCAAGGTAAAGAGTATTTCAGACACATTATAGACTTAAATAAAAAAAAAAGCATTAAACGACATGTACAACCGAGATTCAATTTCAAGAAGACGTAACGATTTTTCTCTTTGCAGATTCCAGCATATTCTCTGAAGGGTCCAGAAAGGAACCATGCAATGAATACTGGGGGCCTCCTCAAGCTGATAAAGCGACAGGTGAGTGAAATAATAATTTCATTTACCTAGGGCCGAGCACTAAACGAACTGTCATGTGTTGGCTACACGTGACGCGGCAAATATCTTCACGCCGGTCTCGGATCTAGCGAATTTATTGCACGCTTCTGTCCACACTTACACAACTCACAATTTCAGTGCCCCAATTATTTCTTCTGCTATGGTCACTTCCAGACGTCAACTGGCTTCGGCGGCTGCTGTATTTCAACTGAACTGCCTGTCCAAGTCCAAGTCACGTTGCGACTGACGGTCAGTTAGTCGCTCTGTCTTGGTGTCGAGCCCCGGCTGGGGCTCATGACCAGATCATTTTTTTGTTGTTTTTTCCTTATATGAAAGTTAATGTCCTGTCCATTTGGAGCGACCTCTCTGACGAGAGTTCGGGTCTGTCATTTATCAGTCATAGTCTGTATTAGTAAGTCCATTGTCAGTATTTATATATATTTACAAATTTTATCTTAATTCCTATGTCTATGTACAACATATACAAGGCCTCTGTCAATCCAGGCTCAGTACAGCAGATTATGCTCTATTTCTAGTAGTAATCTCTACCACGGCACTTGAACACGGCAACTTCACTTGAACGGGCGTATGCCTGACCGCCGCTAAGTTCAAGCCTCTTTTACTTTCTGTGTCGGGGTTCGCCTTGTCCGATGTTGCGAACATTCTCATTTTCATGATTTTGTATGACTTCTGTTTGTTTCCTGTATAAACATACGGGATTTTAAATGCCATGTGCAAATCGCGGACCGGTGTGCGCCTTGGAAAATTGCCAATGGTGCGGAGAACCTTGTTTTGCAGGCGCTGCAATTTCACTAGATGGGTGTCTGCCGCAAACTCCCAGGCGGGACTAGCTTAAGTCATTACGGATCTAATGAGAGCTTTGTGGAGGGTCATTTTAATGTTAGCGCTCAATTGCTCACTTTTGAATAGGGAATATACTGTAATGAATGTTCTGAAGGCCTTGGCTTCGATCATGAACCCCTTTATATAGGCCTCTCGCGGACCACACAGAAAACAGCCTATATTGTCGGACATGTTTGCCAATCTTTATTCCACCAATTGCTCCACAATCACCCTCACCTATCATCTGGGGCTGGTACAATAGGCCAGAAGTGGCCGCAGTACAAGGGACTTAGCCCCACCCCACTAGCAATAAAAAAATTTAACCCTACCTACAAGAGAAACAGTATATAAGTACGCAGCCAAAGTCCATGAATGTTACCGTAAGATAAAAAGCCGATTACGGTGACCGCGAGGTCTAAGGCATGAACTGTCTTATTCCGCTTGAACGCTCGAATCGTGGGTTCGAATCCCACGGGAGGCAGGGATGTCTCTGTTTGTGTTATTCTGTGTATGGATAGAGGCCTTGCAACGGGCTGATCCCCCGTCCAAGGAGTCCTACACACTGTGTATAGGATTAAGAAACTGGAAAGCCGGCCAAGGGCTGTAGAGCCATAAATGGAAATAAAGTGACCTGTGTGATTAATTAGTTAAGCACTATCTCATGAAGATATATGGGGGAGTGGAGGTGTAGCTCCACCTTTATTGACCTCAGCACTAGATGCAGGTGAGTGGTCAGCTTCACGCTCCGGAAGCTTTACCCCACGGTGAAATCAAGTTGTGTAGCGGTTGGAGATGTCTCTTATAAAGATATCAATAGAAACAAACTGATGCCAGTTGTTAGAGGGTGTCACGTGGTGAGGGCAGCGAATCCCCACAGCCGTTACTCTCGGTTTTCTAGACCGGAGCCGCTACTTTTCCATTCAAGTATCTCCTCAGTTATCCTCACGAGGCTGAGTGGACCCCGTTCCTGACTCATTACTTCTCAGAAAATCTGGTAGCGCCGGGAATAGTACCCGGGACCTCTGACCACTAGACCACAGAGGCGGTATGCATAACAACATTTCGAAATGCAGAGCTGTTTATTTCACGTGACTGTGTTATCAAAATAAGCCACTTCTTAGAAAAGAAGAGGACTTTCATATTGGAGAAACATCTGCTCAGAATGGACATTGGTCACCACTGAATCCAGAGTAGTTGCTCGGCTTTTACGCAGTCACGGGTAAAGTGACGTCAGAGGCATTTCTTTTCAATACTCGCGTATGCATGTAAACTATGTACTCGATTCTTTGTGTGTATGCATAATATCGCAACAAAATTTAGTCAGTGCTTCACTCAAACGAAGCCTCTCCATCCGTCTCTGTGCTCTGTTACTCTTCCTTCATTCTCCTTTACATCTCTCCTAACCTGTTATTTCCATATTGATCTTGGTCTTTCTCGTGAGCCTTTTCCTTTTAGTTTTATGTTAAAAACCTTCTTTGGGTTTTTCTTTCGGTTCATTCTTAAAATATCCTCATATCATGTAATTCTGTTATTTCTTAATTTATCTTTGAAGCACTATGCTACAAGCCGGAAGGTCGCGGGTTCAAGTCCCGATGACGTCATTGGATTTTTTTTTCAATTTACCTAATCCTTCCAGCCGCAATATGGCCCTGGGGTCGACTCAGCCTCTATCAGGAATGAGTACCAGGGATATTCTTGGGGGTAAAGGACGGCCGGGGCGTAGGGCTGACAACCTTGCCGCCATCTATGAGCCGATTGTCTAGAAAATGTGGGAACCTCAACATCTCACAACCCTATGGGCCTCCACGGCCTGTTACAGGGATATATTTATTTTTTTCTTTTACTTAATTTATCTTCCAATATACTGTGGCGTGCTGCCAGGAATCTGGAATGTATACTTCCATGGAAAAGCAATCCTAGCGGGGCGTTGCCTAGGAATCGCTTAAACAACAAATGCGTTTCCCCGGAGATCAAAGGACAACAAAAGGTTCGTGGCATAACAGCGGACGAGACCAAAGGCTCCTCCATAGTGCGCTCTGTTCCGTCCGAAAGTGCAGCTTCGTGGAGACCAGTCTGGTTTTACGTTTAGAGTTCATAGTGTAGCTCCGAGTGGAGCAGAAAGAAACTCGCATCCGACAAAGGGAACAGAAGATTTCACCGAGATTGGCGGTGCAAGAAGTAAATATAAAAGTGTTCTGAGAAACGTCTGACGACGCTGTAAGTGGATGATAATTGTGCTTGGAGGTGTAAAAGAGATCGTCCAATAAACGCATTAGCCAAATCCGAGATCAGTGTTACCTACGAAATATGTGACAATATTGATCTTCAAATTGTAGCTAATTTGTTGTGTCCCTTTCTCTGTGTCCTCTCTCCGCGCTTCTTGAAGATCTCACCTCAGCTGCTGTTAGTCTCCCAATAGGTCACTGTCCACGTTCGGGTTTCTGCTCCTGTCGTTCGGCTGGAGGACACGCAGGAACTTGCCGCGCCATAGCTCTAGCGGTTAGTCGCTGGCTACCCACCGCGGCGGCCCGGGTTCGATCCCGGGAGTGGTCAAGTGGGATTTGTGGTGGATATAGTGGCGCTGGGGCGGGTTTTCTCAGAGTACTTCGGTTTCCCCTGCCAATCTTCATTCCACCAAATTCTCCAACATCATAATCACCCAGGGCAGGTACAATAGGCCATTTAGTGACCGCCGTGTCGAGTGGACCCAGCTGGACTCCACCTCCCCCTCCAATATGCGAATTAAAAAAAATAAATTTAACTTCTAAATAAGTGCGGTACTCTTCCCGCTGCAATTTCCAGTTCCCGCGATATATTTCTAACTAATTGGCAAATATTTCGTGCATTTTTTTTTGTAATTTAATATTTCTTTCTTCCTCATATCGCAGTTTTTACTTTTTAAATATTTTGAACTCGCTACTTTTAATTGTTACGTTTTTATCACATTTCATCTTTTCCATTGCCTTTGTCCCTTGCCGTGTTTTCATAGCCATATAACTTCCTCAAATTGGCATTTAATTCGAAATCCTTACTCATTGATTCCTCTGTAATGCGTCCCTTCTAAAGTTCTTTCTGCCTATTCGTTTATCTGTACTTAATTAATGACGCCGTGGCCCGTAGTCCGCAAGCGAACTATACCGACCGAGTGACCGCCGCTTGTAGGTGAAGTTAGTGCCAACTTTAGCGGATAGAGGGTGTCACGTCGTCAGCGCAACGGATCCCCACGGCCGTTAAACTCTGTTTTCTAGACCGAATTAATTAATGACGATGTCACTTCATCAATTATATTTTTAATATCTCCTATCCTCCACCTAAGAGCTGGGGTATCGTAGTCGGTATAGCGACTGGCTACGGGCTGGACGACTGAGAGTTCAGAGTTCGAGTCCCAGAAGGGTCAAGAATTTTCTGATCTCCACGTCGTCCAGACCGGCTCTGGGGTCCACCCAACCTCCTATCCAAAGGGTACCGGGGACCCTTTCCATAGGAGTAAAGCGGCCGGGGCGTGAAGCTAACCATTCACCTCCAATTAATGCCGAGGTCAAGAAAATGTGGATCTATACATGCACTCCCCCATACGCCTTCATGGCGTAGTGCTTAATTAACCACAGGGAAAACCTGACCTTAAATTTACATCTCTTAAATATTTGGTAGGCCATCTTAGATGGGGGAGCGTCCGCCAGCAGTGTCACCTGGACGACGCGCAATGTCAATATTAACGCAGCGAGTTGAGTTCAAGCACCTAATCCCTCGTTTCCCATCGTACCGAGACCTGGACCGCTTTAGAGCGAATGGTCACTGGACTTTTAATTTTTTAAGTCGTTGATTTAGTTACATAATAAGCCACAAGAGCCTGCACAAGGATTTTACGATATGATTTGCCCTTCATCAAGGTCTTCTCGTTCCACATGTTTACAATCTCACAGCAAATTGCGTGAGATCTTCTGTATGTTGTAATCTCATTATTCAAGACGCCGCTACACATCATACATTCTTCAATAAATTCTTTTTATGTGTGACAAAATTATATAGTATGGCGGCGTGTAGAACCGTTGCTACGCAACGACCGCGATATGGGAAAATATACTAGGACCGTTTCTGGGCAACGGCTTGATAAATACGTTCCCGTTGCTAGGCAACAA